CTTTCTCCTCCGCTTCTTCTTCTTCGTCATACTTTTTAGTATCCTCATCAAAATCGTTCTCTTCTTCTTCATAATCATCATCTTGCCCGCGTTTCTCCTCATTCTTCACGTCACCCTCATCATCCTCATAGTATTCATCATCCTTATCATAATTATCATAATCATCAATAGCGGCAACATCCTCATCATAATCGTCATCATCTTCACAATCTTTCTCATTTCTCTCACTCTCCTCATCGTATTTTCCTTCCTCCTTTTCCATCTACTCTCCATCATTAACATCCTTATCAGCATCAACATCCTCTTCTTCTTTAACATCATCAGCATCATCATTATTATCATAGGTGTCTTGTTCATGATCGTCATTCTCTCATCATCTTTCTCCTCCGCTTCTTCTTCATCATACTCTTTAGTATCTTCATCAAAATTGGTCTCCTCCTCCTCACCATCACCGTCTTTCCTCATTAAATCTTTACCCATTTCATTTCTTCACATCCTCGATCGCATTCTCCCTTTCTTCTTACCATCCTCTCACTCGTCTTCCTCCTCCGCCCCACTAACATCCTCCTTCTTCTCATCATAATCGTCGTCATTATGCTCCACAACATTCTACTCATCATCATCCACACCTTCAATTGGTTAGACTCACTACATCCTTCCTCTTCCACTCCATCTTCTGCTCCTGCTCCTCCTGCTCCTCCTCCTCCTTCGCCGCCGCTACCTCAGCATAAATTATTATCATCTCGAGTGTCCTATTAGTATCCTCCTCCTTATTATCACGATCATCATCATCACCACTGTCACCATCGTCAGCCTTTTCAACTCTACTTTACGCTTCCTCCTATTTCTCTCTCACCTCTCCATCGGCATCCTTGTCGCCGCTACACTCAAAGCCCCTGCTTCTCCTCCTTCTCTTCACCATCAGCACCATAATCATCGTCATCATCATCACCATCAGCATCATCATCAGCATCATCATCATCATCAGCATAGACATTGACAACAGAGAAAAACAACGAAACCGGCATCAGCATTGGCAGACTTGTTTGTTTCACTTGTGTCTTTCTGTACCAGTCGGCATCGATTGGATCAGATCGTCAGAGCACATCTGCCCTGACTGGCAGGAAATGCGCTCTCGCGCCTCAGACTCCGTTCACGCCTTCTCAGTCGGGTTGTCGGGTCTCTTGTGCCACTCTACAGACAATCGATAAAGCATCAGCCAGACGGAATGGTTGCGTGGAGATCGAAGAGGGTCATAGCGACAAAAGGCGTCAGAGGCTGTCTACGAGAAGAGGCGATGAGCAGACTCGTCCGCAGACATGCACTCACTGAGAGACAGCGACAGACGCACGATCGTGCCGGAGGCATGCCTGCCTTGCAGACTGCGTCGGCTGTACCGGGCCAGAGCTGAGGAGACCGGCATGCCTTGGCAACTGTTCACTTTCACGACGTCGCAGAGCCTTCCGCTGTTGTCGAGGCTGTCTGCCGTCTCGACAACCGTCTCGACGCAAGACAACGTAACATTTTCGGCGTTAAGACAACTTGAACTGGTTCGTGAAGCCAGCGACTTGCTCTACACTCTCGACAGTCTTGATGGTCTGCATGTTGCCGACATTTTCGTGTTTGCTTGAATGTAGTTGTCACGATGGTACCTTGCTCTGATAATGGTAGTAATTTGACCCACGAAAACTCATCACCTTTTCAGCGTAATCGCAGGAGATTACCCCAAAAGACAGCGTCAGCATGAATCGTTCAAGACGAATCCGTCGTCATCTGTTCGTGGAATCGACCTTGGAATCTCTTCATTAAACACTTTCATTCGAGATGAAAGTAAGCACAACAATCTTGATGCTATTGATGCTGCCGACACTTTCTTGTTTGCTTAACGGGTTAGCTTGAATGTGGTTGTCACGATGGTACCTTGCTCTGATAATGTTCGTATTCTGACCCACGAAAACTCATCACCTTTTCACAGGAATCGAAGGAGATTACCCCAAAATACAGCGTCAGCATGACTCGGTCAAGACGAATCCGTCGTCACCTGTTCGTGGAATCGACCTTGGAATTTCTTCATCAAACACTTTCATTCGAGATGAAAGTAAGCACAACAATCTTGATGCTATTGAGGATGCTGACACTTTCTTGTTTGCTTGAATGTGGTTGTCACGATGGTACCTTGCTCTGATGATAGTCGTCATTTAACCCACGAAAACTCATTACCTTTTCACCGGAATCGAAGATTACCTCAAAATACAGCGTCAGCATAACTCGGTCAAGACGAATCCGTCGTCATCTGCTCGTGAAATTGACATTTTCTTCTCTTCATCAAACACTTTCATTCG